CTGGTGTCGAGCGAGCGCCGAGCTCTGGCTGAAGCTGCGGCCGCAGTGCGGGCACGGGTAGGGCCGCTCGCCCGTGTGTGTGCGCTGGTGCGTGACCAGGTAGGAGCGCCGTCCAAAACCCGCGCCGCAGAAGGCGCAGCGGTAGGGCCGCTCGCCAGTATGGATGCGCCGGTGCGTGACCAGGTGCGACTTGTAGACGAAGCGCTTGCCGCAGTCTGGGCACGGGAAGGGCTTCTCGCCGGTGTGCGTGCGCTGGTGGATGGCCAGGTGCGAGCGGTACACGAAGCCCTTGCCACACTCGTCGCAGCCGAAGGGCTTGACGGCCGCGTGGTAGCGCTGGTGCTTGGCCAGCCGGGACCGATGCGGGAACACCTTGCCGCACACGTCGCATGTGGTTTCGGGCCGCCCGGTAGGGGCAGCCACCTCGGCAGGGAACGCCCATGGCGCCAGCAGGTTCGCGACTGGCTCCCGGTCGCCCAGGAAAGGCTTCACCTCCGACCCCTCGGCCAGGGCCCCGAGGCCACCCGGGTCAGGCCCCCAGCCCTCCGGAGTCTGTGCCGAATCCGAGTCGTCAGGGCCCCACGTCCCAGGCACGTCCCCCACGCCGTAGGCCGCCGACCACAGCCCGGGGGGCTCGTTCTCCTCCTCAGCTACCTCTGCCAGGAAGTCCTCATCGTCTTCCTCCTCATGGTCCTCTATGTCATCTGTCCAGAACCAGGCCCCTGAAGGTGATAAGGGAAGGCCAGCAGAGATGAGAAGAGGCTGTGACAAGGGCCCCTAGCATGCTCCTGCCCTGGGAAATGGAGGCTTCCGCGGCCCTGGCTGCTGAGTACCTGGCCTTATAAGCCCCTAAGCTTCGCTCAGCATCCCTCCTCTGGGTTCTTCTCCACCAGCCTCTGGGTGCCCAGCAGCGGGGGTGGGGAGGGGTCTTTCACTCCCTGCACCGGGCAGACCCAGGAAAGGCTGCCCTGGGCCAAGGCCTGGAGCTCTCTGCACTCAGCCCAAGAGGCTCCAGCAACTGTAGGCACTGCCCAGGCCTCCCTGCTAGCGAAGCCAACACCAGCTTGGCTTTTTGAGGGGCTGTGCATTGGGCAGAGGTCCCAGGTTGGCTCATACTGTGCGTGAGCTGCAAGCCACTTCTCATCACAAAGGACAAGGACCCCCCAAGTTCCTGCTGTCCTGTCCCTCCTCTACCAAGCCACACCCGACCTCCCCCTCCACTGCAGAGCATGGATGTGGGGGTCATGTCTGTAGGGTTTCCGGGTTTATAAGGGAGTGCCGGTGTGCCTGCCATCATGGTACACGGGGAGAGAACTAGTCCTTACGGGGCAAGGCCTAAGTCACACTAGGGCGAACTGCCTGGCCCTCCTACCCCCAGGTGTCCCCAGGCACCTGCATGCTTTCTCATGGACACTCTGTGCCATGCGCTGCAGCCCACCCTCAGGATCCTAGCATCTGGAAGGTTCAGGTCCCCACGAGGGCACAGGAATCCCTGCACCCACCCCACCCATGTCCACCATCCAGGCTGAGGCCAGTGTCAGCCTAGTGGATGAGTCTGGATCACTGAGTCCTGACCCAGAGGGAAGGGTGGGTGAGCCTGCCCGCCCCACCTCAGCCCATGTCCTGTGTTCCCCGTGCCATTCTACATATATGGTGATGCAGGCACTTGGGGAACACAGCACAGTGCTGAGTGAAATAAAGCCAGACAGAACTGCAGAGGCATGACTTCAGCTGTGAGAAATTTATCACGTGAAGGGACGACGCAAAATGGGTTTTTATTTTTTCATACTTTGCAACGCTTTTTAAGTTTTCTATAGTTAGTAATATTATACTACTACAGTAAAAAAAAGCTTGAAATAAAAGATTCATGTTATTATTAAGCTGTTTACCTCCAACTGCAACGCATGGCCATGAGTGAGTGACATGAAGTTCTGTGCCCCCAAACAGCACAGAAAAGGCCCAGCTCCTCCTTGCTGTGAAGGCTGGAGTGCCTCTAAGGGGCAGGGAGGGGATCACAGGGACAGGCAGTTGGGGCTGCTGGTCAGGTGGGCTGGGAATTCTTTCAGTGAGTCTCAGGAAGGATTTTACCCCTAGACTCTGGTGAGGGTCTTGAGTGGTTTTAATCAGAGACTGTACGGCAGGAGATTCAAGCTGAGGAATAAGTACGATGTCTTAGTGGGGTATGTGGGTACCCCAGGCCCTAGCCTAGGGTCAGTGAGCACTTGCTGGACGAGAAGGGGACACCACGGCCAAATGAGGGCCCTCCAACAGGCAAGCTCAGCTCCTCAGGGCTGGGAGCGTGGGCTGCATCCCAACGGCTCACCCACACCACCTCTTCCTCGGGCTCTGGAGCAGCAGAAAGCCCCCGGCTTGGAGAGGCGAGCCCTTCCTGCCCCTGTCCCCAGCCACCAAGCAACGGCGGGCTCTGCAGAGGGGGCCAGCTCTGGGAGGGGACTTCGTGGACCTCATCACTAGCTCTGGAGCTGGCATGGCCACCTGTCCAAGGATGAGAACTACTAAATGCACAGCAAGGTGGCAGAGGCACTACGGACACCCAGTGACGGGGAGCAGGGCCTCCAGGCCCCTGGGCAGTCGGAGCTGGCCGCACCCAGAGACAAGACCTCAAGAAGTAGTGGGATCACTGGAGGGATCTAGAGGGAGACTAGCTAGCCCTGAGGACGGGCTCTGTCTCTAGTCGTCTGCCATCAAAGTGACCCAGGGTCAGGAGGTCTGGCCCCTGCGGAGGGGACATCCAGTGTAACGGTTACTCCAGGCTGCAATGGGGACAAGGTTCACATGGAGTTTGCTGGCACTCAGACCCAAACTCGTTCTGGAGCCCAGTGAAGATTCGTCATGTCAACCTGTGAGACCTGAGCCAGGTCAGAGAGGACGCGCTGATAAGGGGTGAGGGTGGGGTTCCCAACAGTAGCCCAGAGGGTCAACCATGGTTGCCACTTCCAGAACCCACAAGGCAGAGAGGTGGACCCTGGGGAGTGAGACGGGCATTTCATTGCCCTGAGACATCTGCCCCTAAGGACCAACCCTGGGTGACTAGCTAGGCCAGTCCCAGTGCTCTGAGGCCTCATGACAATCCTAGGGGCCGACAGGGCCCCGTTAGCAGAGCCCCAAGACATCTCCAGGAAGCGTCCTACCTGGGCACTAATAAAAGGGCCCTGCGGTTGCACAACTGGCACACCTGTGTCCCTGAGCTGCTGGGAGGGGGACTCGGGGCACACTTTTCTCCAGCCATGTCCCTGCTCCAGTGAAGATGTAGACTGAGCAGGAAACAGGGTTCGGCCTGGGGCAGGGATCTGCCAGGTGACTACGAGGGGCATTTGCAAAGAGAGAGGAACCCTGTCCTCTGAACCTGGTGAGGAGGAGGGCGGCAGGAAAGGGGGGTGGTCAGCAGAGGTGAGGGGGGCGGCAGGAAAGGGGTGGGGTCAGCAGAGGGGAGGAGAGAGAATGCGGGGCAAGGGCAGGGAGGCTGTTTAGCAAACAGGCTACAATTAAGGAGGACCCTGGATGGACTTGCTCTGCGGAGTGACCACAGCCTTTGCTGCTGTGTCATCTCAGCAGACAGGTGACACATCTAAGACTATCCTCGGGCTCTACAGACAGTTGGGGCTGAGGATGAGGAGTCGGGGAGCATTCCAGGTCCACTAGCCCTGGCACAGTGACTGGCCCAGCTAGCCAGCGCCCAGACAGGTTCACGCAGAACACTGTGGCTCTGCCCTAGGACCCTACGAGAACAATGGAGAACGGGGCACATCTAGACCCTGTGACAAGAGACTGGAGAACGGGGCACATCTAGACCCTGTGACAAGAGACTGGCCAAACCAGCCCTGTCACCTCCAGGGGGCTTTTCTGAGATATACCCATTAACAGGGCACACGTCACCAACATCCCAGCCTCATCGTGGAGGAAGCAGCGACATTTCTCGCCAGCCAGAGCCCTCGCAATTCGGAAGCCCAGCAAAGATTCCAAGAGGGTCCCAGAGGATGTGCACACCCCAGCAGAAAGGCCACCCCGCAACACAGTGGAAAGTGAGGCCCGAGGCTGAGCCCACCAAGGGCAAGTCACGTAATCACTGCTTTAAGTCAGTTTCCTCATCTGCAAGGTGAATTAATCCCTCCCCTGCTGCTTCATGGGGTTGTCACGAGGACACAAAGTATGCGGGAAAACACTCTGAAGCGCACAATACACATGTGGGCACAGCATCGTCTGTGTTTTTCTGGATTTTTATTGTAATGCACATCTGTAAGCTGCTCCGAGTCTATCCAGGCACGTGGTTGGCATGAGACATCCAGTGCCCACCACCAGGCTGGCGTCACTCCAGCCCAGAGCCAAATACACCTACTGTGCAAGGACGCCCACTGGACTTTCGAAACACCGAGAGTAACTCACAGGCCTCCACAAGGCATCTCCACAGAACCAACAGGCCGACGTCCTCAGGGTAGAAACTACAGGTTTAGTTTACATTCTTTATTCTCCAGATAAGTAAAGTGGGGCTCAGAGAGAGAGAGGGGAACAGAGCCAGGTCCCAGGCCTCCGAAGACATCTGCCACCCTGAGTGCTTCCTGCAAGCATTTCTCCAGAATCTCTCCAGAAGGCCCAGAGCTGCCCACCCAGGCCCTCCCGGGACAGGAGGGAAGGCTGCGGCGGGGGGACCCTTGACTCGAAGATGGCCAAAGGGGTGGAGAAGCCAGAGAACTGGCTGGAGCACACCAGGCCCGAAAGCCTGCTTGGCACCTGTTCCTAGCCTCTCTGAGCCCTCACCACCAAACACACGCAGAGGCTCCACGGTGAGGTCAGGGGACCATTTTTAAAGGCTCCTAAGAGGAGCCTCTAGGTTCTCTAAAGATGTCCCAGCCTTTGGGCCTCCACGGACTGGGACTAAGAGGAACCAGCCCGTGGGGCTGAGGTTAGCCCATGGCAGCCACCCTGTCTCCACGAAGCCCACCCCACAGCACAGACCGCCAGCACCGGGCTGCTGCAGAGGCCAAAGTCTGGCAGAGCTCCGCGGAGCTGTGCAGGCAGAAACCCCACAGCTCCGTCTCAGGCTCACCTGTGTAGACGCCAGTGACGATGTCTCCCTCCTCAGGACTGGGGCTATCTGGGACCCACGGCTCCTCTCCTTGCTCCAGCCGGAAGATCAGATCCGGCTTGGGGATTGGGTATCCTGGTGGAGAACAAGAGGGAGCTGCAGGCCCCACCCTCCCACCACACAGCCCCGCCCCCTCCCTGTCCTCCTCCGGATCCTCTCCCCTCTTCTCCATCCTTCCAGCACCAGGCGTCCCCACTCTATCCCGCTGTGGAAAACCTCATGTCCCCTTCTCTCTGGGAGCCTTGCCCTGATGCCCACGGCTCTCCTGCCAAGCCCCTCTCCACGCCTTCATCTACGGGGTGCCCGCTCCTCTCCTCTATCACCTGACTCCTCACCCCTCCAGGCCTCTGGGGAGCATATGGCACAGAGGCCTGAGCTGGACTGGTGGCTCCCCAGAACATGTCCACCTGACTCACACACTCCCCAGGGTCCACCTCTCTGCCAGAAGTGGGGTCACCCCTGTGGCTTCCCAGCACCCACTTCTCCAAGACCCTGGGACTCCAGAAGCCACCTCTCAGACAGCTAAGTCCCTGGAAGCCATCGCACCAGAATGCCTCTTGGGGACGAAGGCCCTGCTTACCCAAGGACACCAGGATCCCATAGTTCTCCTGCATGACTTCCTTGTAGAGGTCTCGCTGCGCCGCGTCCAGCCTCTGCCACTCCTCCAGAGAGAAGTACACAGCCACGTCTTCAAAGGTCACCAGGCCCTGGAAAACAGAGCCCTGGTCATCACTCCAAGCTGCCCCAGGGGAGAGGCAGGGGCCCTCCAGAGGGAGCGGCGGCAGACTACCCCAGTGGGACTGACCGCAGCCCTACACCGTGGAGCTCACGGAGGCACAGCTGACAGCCCGTGAGCCGCGGGCCCACAAACGTCCGACAGGACTGGGGCCTTGCCGTAGCCCTGCGAGGCGGGGACCCCGTCCCCGTTCAGGGATGAGGAACCCAGGCTCGGAGAGGGCACATGCCCCGCTCACACAGGGACAGAGCCAGGATCCACACGGAACTCAGAGGACAATGAAGCTCAAGGCCCCACGGCTGTGCTGCATGGCTGCCTTGTCCGGGCCCACAAACGTCAGACAGGACTGGGGCCTTGCCGTAGCCCTGCGAGGCGGGGACCCCGTCCCCGTTCAGGGATGAGGAACCCAGGCTCGGAGAGGGCACATGGCCCGCTCACACAGGGACAGAGCCAGGATCCACACGGAACTCAGAGGACAATGAAGCCCAAGGCCCCACGGCTGTGCTGCGTGGCCGCCTTGTCCCCTCCTACTTCACTATATGGCTCAAGCCAGCAGTCACGTCAGCAGGGTGAGGGCCCACACCTGGGTGGACACGCAGCACCAACTCGACCGAGTGTGGGCATCACTGCCCGACCGGACTGAGCGCAGCAGGAAATCAGAGCCCAGACAGGTGGCGGGCGCTCCAAGTAAGGGGCACAGCCCTACCTGGGGAAAGACCCAGGTCTCTGAAGGAACTGCAGAGTGCAGGTGAGTGGGTGGCAGTCGACATGGCCAGGACATTCTAATGACCCGGGAGGGGTCAGCCCCAGGAGAGTGGAACCACATCCCATGGCCTTAGGGCTGGGGATGCCTGGCACTCTCTGCAGCCATGGCCCAGGTCGCAGTCTGGACTTGGCCTGAGAACCAGTGCCACTGCCCTGCCAACGGGGGTCTCGAGGACAGCAGGTGGCGAGCTCCCTGGGGAAACCCTGCCTGGTTGACTGAGCTCCAAATGAGACGGCAGCTCACCTGAGACCCAGCCGTCAGGAAATCCTCCTCGTCCTCGTCCTCCAGGTCCTCGTCCTCGTCCTCTTCCAGGTCCTCCTCCCTGGCCACAGCCGGACCCTGGGGGGCCTGCAGGGCTGAGGGGAAAGACCTGTTGGGGGCAGCTGCCCTTGGCGTCAGACCTTGCCGCCCTGGCCACGCAGCAGGCCGCGTCAGGAGCCCCCGGTGCTCCCACTTCAAAGCCTGGGCCCCGCGGCTCCGGCTTCGGCTGCCCGTTCCCCATGCACGCTCCTGTCTCTTACCGTTGTCCTGGAGAAGGAGGGACCTGGCATCACCACCACGGCTAAGGCGCTCCTGGGTCCCCCACGCTGGACTCAGCTCCTCTGCCAGCACCTCCTCCACGTCCTCGTCCTCCTGAGACTCCACGTCCACCTGCTCCACCGGCCCTGCCCACGCCCCATCCGCCTGTGCCCCGGCCAAGGCCTCCTCGTCCACTGCCTCTGCCTCTTCCCCCTTGTCTTCCTCCTCCTCTTCCTCCTGGTCAGGATCACACTCCGACCCGTCCTCCGCCCTCTCCAGCTGCACGGCTGAGGAGTCTGGAGCCGTGTGAAGGGCGGCCATCTTCGCTGGACGCAGGCCTCGGTGTGGCCTGCAACACAGACGGCGACAGTGCTGAGCCGCCCAGTGCGCTCACCAGCTCCTCCCGCTGGCCCCGGGTGGGGTCAGGGGCAGGCTTTACCGCCCCCATTGTGCAGTGCTGGCACAGGACAGGGGCTCTCTCCACACTCTCGTGTGGCACAGGGGACATTCTGTACCCAGAGAGGTGCCCAGAGAGCCCCGCTCCATGACCCCCCATCGTGCGTCTCAGCCTTTATGGACTGCTGCTCTGCTCTTGGAGTAAGGCAAAGATTTATCCTCCAGGACCACGAGAAACATCACGTCCAGGCAACATGGCCTGAGGGTAGCCCGAGTTGAACTGAAAGCAGAGAGTGTGGCCTGCAAGGCACAGCCCGCCTGCCACATAGAAGGTGGTGCTCACCCAGCCCTTGACACACACGAACTCGGCCGGCAGGGAGTGTCGGAGGAGAGGTCTAGGCATGGGCAGGCTGCAGACACAAGTGCAGGGCAGAGGCGACAGGTAAGACCAGCCTGGTCATTCACCACCACCCGGTGGCCTCTCCGGGCAGCCAGCAGGTCAAGCTCCCTCCTGCGAGGCGACGGAGCAGAAGCCCTGAGCATGCATTACTTCTGCACCTCCCTCGCCTCTCGCTCTGTCCGGGGCACCAGGTCACGGGGATATGGTTCACCACCACATCAGCAAAGGTGATATGAAACACCCTGGGACATCTCTTCAAATGTGGGATCAGAGAATCCTAAAAGCTGAACTGTCAAAGTCTCAGGAGCTCACAGGGTCCTACTCTTACACCAACGTCACAGCCCACTCGACCCAGGCACTCAGGAGAGACACAGCCATACAGCTGAGTCCAGGGCTCAGGGCTGTGGATCCAAGCGCCGGGGAGGGGGGGGGGACCAGAGCCACTCCTCCCCACCAGCTGCGCGTCCTTCTCCAGCCCCAGTGGAGTCCCAAGGGCAGGACAGAGTCATGGTTCTGACAAGTCAGTTTCTATGGCTCTTGAGTGTAAACCTACGAACAGGTCCATCACCCAGCACTGGCTCCATCAGGATCTCAGACCTGAACAGGTTCAGTTCCAACATGAGCCACGCCCACTGCAATGCAGCAACCCAGAATCCTGAGATGAGAGCATGAACCCCAGAGGGATCCTGACATTTCAGGCACGGGGGCAACTGGGCCCAGGCCGGCTCATCTGGCTCTACCAGTGGACGGCGTCTATCACAGAACCCCTAAAACGGGACAGAGGCACATGGCACAAAGACACCCGGGCCACGAGGACAGTTCAGACCACTGAGAACTGCTCAGGGCTTGGCTCTTATTCCATAACTTGTCGCCGTCCTACTAACAGCAGTGTACACTCACTTTCTGAACTGCTTTGAGCTACTGCTTTAAAATCCACACTCTAATAGCTAGGGCGCTCAGAGCATTCATGCAGTTCCTCCCAGAGACCAGAGCCAGGGGCTGGGGCGCACTAGCATCTAGGAGCCACCTCTGGCCCGACCCTCATGCTCCCCCCGGGCTAGCTCCAGCCCCATTTTAGGGTCACAATCAGTGAGCTCACATTCACAGGGAAAGGACTATGCCTAAGAGGGCCACCCTGGCCTCCAGTCTGTCCCAGAGCCGAACTCCTTGGCCTCCATAGCTCTTTGGGTGTGTGAAGGTGCCTGAGGTGTAGAAACACATATGCCATGTGTCACCCTAGCCACCTCTGGGAGGATGCAGCCCTTCCCAGCACTCGGAGCAATGAGAATGCTCAGCAGAGGTTTTCCAACTGCCACCCACCACAGGCTCAGAGGAAGGCTTTTCTTACCCAGGTCTCAGGCTGCAAAATCAGGCTGAGCCCAGACGCCATGCCAAACCAGGCAGAGCTGCCTCTTGCCTGGCCACCACCCAGGGCTGACTCCTACAGGCCAGGCTGCCGTATCCAGGGACTCACACTCAAAAGAAGAAAACACCGTGGCTTTGGAATGAAGTGGCTCCACGCTCGTCCCGCCTCAGGACCTGTGCGCGCGCCCTCCCCTCTCCCCGGAACTCTCGCCCCTCTTCCTCACTCATCCTCCTGAGGCAGCAGCCCCCTGAGCCTGTTGCACACAGTGCCCTGCACGTGGCTCTGCAGCACCCGTATTTACACACTTATGGAACTGCCTGCTCACTACCTGTCTCCAGGTACAGTCAGCTCGCAAGAGGTGGACGTCCCCTTGGCTCATCGCTGAATCTCCCCCATGCCAGACGCAGAATAAGTGCTCAAATATTTACTGAAGAAACGACTCTGAAGTCTGTAGCGAACGTGATATACGTGACATTTTTAAAACTCAGTTATTTTGGCCCTGCTGTCACATTCCACGACAGACTGACCACTGTCGAAGGTCCGTCCACCTGGAGCCCACCCCGGCAGCACTGGAGAGTCTGCCCCCAAAGAGCTTTGGCCTAAGGTCCCTTCTCCCAAGAAGCGCAGCTGCTGACGACCAGAAAATAGGAAGGTCCAGCACTCGTGGGCGCTGGCAGTCACCCTGCGGATGGGGCCGGGACCCGCGCAGCGGGAAACCTCGTATCCCTCAACCCAGAATCCAGAACAGAATGGTTCCGAAGAATGAACCTCAGCAACTTGAGCACTACGTTCTTTCTGTCGCTCCAGGCCACGTGTGTGCCAGGCCTGCTCCCCCAGACCCGCGCTCTTTCTTCTGCCAGCCTGTCGGCCCACCAGAAACTCACTCTGCTCACTTCCTGGCATCCACTTCTGGTCAGATGCCACAGCGGGGCAGGTAAGCAGCCTCATCAACACAAACCCTGCGTCATCCCGTACCCGTATTTCTGCAAGAGCCGTGCATCCTATGACACAATGCTGCAGACCGTTAGAACTAAAGGTGACAAGATGCTTCCCACGGGGAGAAGGGGGACCCCAAGGACAGAAAAGCTGGCAAAGTTGGAAAACTTACAAATTCTCCACAAAAGTGGAGAAGCAGACAGAGAGAAGGAGAAATGTGTTTGTCCGCGTGGGTACCTTCCCTCCGGGGGGCCTCACTGACCACAACCCTGTGATTCAAGGCCTTCCAGGCTTTCCCCTCCTCCAGGAAGCCTTCCTTCCGTGACTACTGGGGTCCTCACTGTCTGTCCACCGATTTGGGCTCCCCTCTTCTCCTGGGTTTGCTCCTGGAGCAGGCGTAGCCACGGGCCATCCCGACTCCCTCGCCACGCTGGCCAGCTCCCCAGACCTGCCAGCAACTGCTGAACTAAACCAAGTACCAAAGTCTCCCCACACAGGCGCAGCTCGGGGGCCTGATCCTCCTGCACCGCACCGCACCGCCCCCCACTCCACAGGGTCCTTCACCAAAAGCCGGCTCCTCTCCCACCTCTGTGGCCGCGTGGGGCGGCCCAGCCCCATCCGACCCCAGTGATGGGTTCCCCTACTACAACGGGGCGGTAAAACACGGCATAGCAGCCCACCAGGACCTCCATTTGCAGGCGAGGGCGGACCCAGATAAGGCCCCCAAGGTCACTAAGCAAGCGTATGGGGGCGTCAGGTCAAGCCGCCTCCATTCCTCCAGGGGTCTCATCGGGTCTCGGCCTCCCGCAGAGGCCCCCGGCAGTG